TGGGAAGAGGTAGCCGGGCGCCTGGCAGATGAGCATCACCGCTAGACCGAATTGCTGGACGGCCGAATCCAAGCGTGTGCGGGGAGGGAGGGGGGAGGGGGGGTGCGGGTTAGCGCTTAAAGTTACCGTCCATGCGAGCTGGGTATGCGTGTGCGTGTGCGACTCACGTTGGCGACATTGCGGCCCAATGCGCTCAGGGTGGTGGACGATTCTGCGTCTGGTGCTGGGGCGGGGGGACTGGACGAGAGCAGGCGGAGGCGCGCGATGATCGCGTTGATGTCCTGTACGGCGAGCCCGACGAGCTTCCACACGTGGGGGAGGATCGTCTCTGGCGGTTGGGGCTCCTTTAGGCTTTCTTTCGAGTGTGGCCCTGGATGAGAACGAGAGAAAGAGGGATCCGGTGAGTGCCAGTGAGCGGCCGGGATGATGCCGTAGGCGAGGGGCATGGCTTACAACAAAGACAATCAGCGTTGGTCACTGCGACTTCTTGCGGTGGTGTCGGGACAGGCTCGGGCTGCGCGGCATCTGCTACTATTGGCTCTGGCGCTGGGACTTGACGTGCCTCAGCTTGAAGCTCTGGCTGGATGTCATGCGCGGGTTCAGACTCGGACTCTGCTGCCGTCGCGGTCGGTGCGGCTGCTACTTCCGACGGGTCGTTGCCGAGATCGACGGTGTCGGGGATGTTTTCCATTCTGCTGCTTACGTTGTTTGTATAGTGCTTACGGTAACTGGAGGCGAAGCTCGGTACAGATGGTCGTGGTGGGACACAAGCTTGGGATGATCTATTGATGGCCATCGCTCGCGTGGCATTAGTGGTTGTGAGCGCTTACGTCTCTTTGCCCAAACGCGTGCTATATGTTGGTTCTAACCTTGATCAATCTGTCTATGACTTTGGTATCTCTCCCATGAAGGTTTGCCATTGGTTGGTCGTCATGGATGACACAGCCATTCAAAAGTGGAATACAGTCGGTCCCAGGGCGACATTCGAATCTATTCGGCGAAGAGGTTTACCGCTAGTGCCTTGCCCGAAGCACACTTAGCGAGAAGATGCATGGGCACTAGCGATCATTCAAAGCAAGGAGAACCAACTACCAGAGAACACGGCCTCCACGACCGTCCGAACCGTCGCGCTAACAGTAATCCGTCCACAGAACCACCCCCGGCGCGCGCACGCCAGTGAATCCGGTACCGCGGACACATGCCACGAAGACCCTCGACGTCAGGCTGGCACATGCACACCGTGCACCCCACCCCCGAGGGCCGAAGCTGCACAGACCTTCCCCACCCGGCCGCGTACCTCTCTCTGCGCGGTCACTGGACGCGCGTCCGAGCAGCAGCTGGCGGGGTCGGTTGACCGGCGGCAGCGTGCACGCTGCACGCCCGGACCGCCGAGCATCAGCTCGTGACCGCGGCCGCACAGGGCGTTATTAAAGCGACAGAGCGGCGCGCGCGGTGGGGGGGGACCCACGGGCAACGCACCGAAGGGACGTTTGCACTTGTGCGTTGTGACATGCGCGCGTTACTGAGCTTGCTGGCTGCTACCGCGCTGGGCTGCTGCTGCTGGGGGACGGCGTGTCGCGCGGTGGCTGTGACCGCGGCGGCGACGACCGCTGAGAAGGTTTGTACTTTGCGGCCCCTTGGGGGTGGGAGGGATGATACGGACCAGGTGCGTCGCCCTTTTGATATTCTGACCCGTCTTGTGCTCCATTGCATGTCTTTGCACTCACGCACGCACGCACGCACGTGCAGGTGGAGGCAGCGATCGCAAAGTGCGGCCATTTTGGGAGGACGGTGTTCGCTCCCGGGCAGTACAACATCACCCGGTACGCTCATGTCCTGTGCGCTGAAGCGGGCGCGCACGCGTGCTGACGGGCGGGCGGCAGGAAAATGACCTGGGACCTCGTCTCGTCCCGAGTGGACCTCCATGGATACCTCAACGTGAGCACCGTTTCTCCTCCCCCCCTCCCCCGATCCCGATCCTCGCCTCGCGCGTCCACGTTTCCACGCCCGGCTCAACCGCTCCCCCCCCCCCCCCGGCGTTCGTGTGCAGTTCAAACCGGACCCGACGTACTGGCTCGAGCCCGCGCACACCTACCGCGTGATCTTCATCCAGTCCCAAGCGTCCTGGTTCGTGCTGACCGGGCACGACTTCGCGGTCGACGCGCACGGGACGGGGGGGATCGCGGGCAACGGCCAGACCTGGTGGTCGTTCTACGGGAACGGGAGCACGACGAGCACGACGACGAACCGGACGCGGGCGGACGGGGACGGGCGGCCGGTCGCGCTCACGCTCGTGAACGTGACGCGCGGGCTGGTGCGCGACTTCCGGATCGAGGGCCAGCCGTTTTGGTGCAACGCGGTCGCGGACTCGCGGGAGGTGGTGTATGAGGGGATGGTGTGCAACGCGACGAACGGCGATCCGCTGTATCGGGGCCAGAAGTGAGTCGGCGGGGGCTGGGGCCGGGGTGCTTGAGCTTGTGCTGACGAGGGCCGTGGTGCGGTTTAGCGTGGTCCCGAACACCGATGGTACGGTGGCTGTCTCTGCTGCGTTGGGGGAGTGCATTGACGGCGCGACGTCCTAGGAATCAACACGTACCGCTCCGACAAGATCACGCTCCTCCGCTGGGATGTACGCCTCCCCGCGCCGTTCTCGCCTGCACGGTAGGGTAGCCCGGCTCATGCGCTCTGCAGATCACGTGCGGCGACGACTGTCTCGCCATCAAAGGTGTACGTATAAGCCTTTCGTCGCAAGCACGCGCCGCGTCTCACCTATCGCAATGAGCAGAACTCGACGAACGTTTTCGCAAAGGACATCACCTGTCGCGGCGGGAACGGGATCGCGATCGGCTCGCTCGGGCAGTACGCAGACTTGGTGCGCGTGGGCCTTTGTCGCGATGCGGGACGCGCTGACGGCTCGGGCGTGCAGCCTGACATCGTGGACAACCTGGTGATGGAGGACATCAAGGTGGGTCGGCGTCGACGAAGTGCACCGTTGCAAGGGGTGTGTCCACGCTCATGCACCCGCCCGCGCGCGGGTCCGAGCAGATGATCCGTCTCGACCCGGACGTCCAGCCTAACATGGTCTCCGGGGTATACTTCAAGACGTGGACCGGCGCCGTGCACGGTTCGCCGCCCACCGGGGGCGGAGGCGGTGGAGGTGCGTCCCCTCTCCCCCCTCCCCCCCTCTGTGCGAGGCGAGAGCCAGCTAGCCTAACGATCCGCTCACTCCCCTCTCCTCCCCGTTCTGTATAGGATACGTGTCGAACGTGATCGCGCGGCGCGTGTCGCTCGACCGCGTCACGGTCCCGATCCACCTCTATCAGACGAACGGCGGCCACTCGTGCGTGTGCACTCTTTCCCTGCCCCCCTCCTGTTTCTTTCTTTTCTTTCTTTTCTTTTCTGCTTTTTTTGTCTTTGTGCTTGTGCTTGTGCGTCGACCGTGGCTGACGCGGCGCGCACAGCGGCGACGCGCCCTCGACGCTGCAGTTCAGCAACCTGACGTTCAGCGACTGGACGGGGAGCGCGCTGAGGAACACCAGTTGAGTCCGCGCGCCCTCTGTCTGCTTCACTGGCTTGGGTGTGATTTCTGACCCATCGTCCCTCACGCAACAAAAACAATACAAAAAACAACACGAAAAACAACAACACGAAAAACTGAAACACGAACAACGAAAAAACGAACCAGTCGTGGACGTGGAGTGCAGCCCGGCGGCGCCGTGCGCGAACATCAAATTCCGGGACGTGCGGGTCGCGCCGCCGCGGGGGACGGCGCCGGGGTTCAAGTGCGTGAACGTCGCGAGCGAGTCCGGGCTGCCTGCCGGTGCGTGGCTCGGTTTTTTCTTTTTCTTTTTTTTGGCGGTGCTGTGTCCGGGCTGGGCTGATGATGGATGTGTGTGCGTGGCGTGGCGTGGCGTGGCGTGGTGTGTGGGTGGGTGTAGCGTGCAATGCGACTGGGGCGGCGTGAAAGGGAGGACGGTGGGCGTTGTGATGATGATGATGATGATGTTGATGATGAGGGCGCGGGAGAGGGGTGGTACGGGAATGCGCTTCGGCGGGGCGTCGGGTGTGGAGCCCGACGGGTGTTTTTGTTCTCGAGTTTGGCCCGTTCTTACTATGTGGAATCCATGCGCGCTTCGGAACTTACGGCGGAGACTTTTGAACGGAGCGAGCGAGGATGAGCGGGGCGAGAGAAAGCGCCCTCTCGTTGGTGCGTCCGAATCGTGGTGCGTGCCCGACGAAGTACGGAGTACTACTGTACATAGTGCAGGTCGCGCTCTCAGGCGCCTCCGCCCTCTTCTTCCGCCTCTTCGTTCTCGTTCTCGTTCTCGTTCTCACCCCCGTCTCCATCGGCCGCGGGGTGCTGTACCCCAGTGTGAACCGTGCCCACGGCCGGGAACCAGCCATAGTGCGCCAAGTCGACCCTGAACTGGCCCGCGCGCGCCGCCAGGACGGCGACGCCCTCCGCGACGAGGGCGTCCCGCTGGCGAGTCGCGCCGGACGTGCCCGGGCCGCGGGAGGGGATGGCGCCGGAGGCGGAGAGGACGCGATGCCACGGGATCGGCGGGTGGACGGCGGGCGAGAGGAACTTGAGCGCTGCGGGGACGGTATTAGTAGGAGGTGGGGTAAAGGGAGTGTCGGGGATGCAGACCTTGGCCGACGTGGCGGGAGTACGTGGGCATGCCGATGAGCTTTGCGACGTGTCCTGTGGCGGGGTGAGCATGTTCCGAGTTGGAGGGCGGGAGAGGGGCTTGCCGTAGGAGGTGACGCGCTGAGGGGGAATCTGGCGGACGACGTGGTAGACCTGCACCGGCGCTGTTAATACATGAATATTATGGAGAGGAGGAGAGATGCATACGGCGGCGTGGAAGTCCTCTCCGTCCATCGCAGTACCGTCAGTGTCGTCCATCCCATTCCGTCCCAAACGCAGCTTACCCGCAGCGTGATTGTGACTGACGTGTGGGGACCTGTGACCACAGCACCCGGGCGCAAGACCAAAACGATTCCCATTAGCCGACTTGAACGACTGACCTCGTCATTACAAGACACACAAGGCGCTCGTACTAGTGACGCGCTCTACCAGCTGAGCTAAACGGGAGATACGCGCCTGGTTTGAGAATACCCCACGACAACATGGTGAACAGTAAATCTCGTAGCACAGCTCGCGTTCCGCATATGCTGGGATCAATGTAGTTGCGGGACCTCGCCGCTCAGATCTCAGAGGCTTCACTGTCATGTACATGTCCGATCCTTGCGCCCAATCCGCGCATCCTCACCACCCACCATACCCGCGGGACCGCCACCGTGCACGATCGGCGCTCAGCGCTCAGCCGTGGAGAACCGTTCCGTGCAGAGAGACAGATCCGATTGGGGATTACGGCGCGCGCGCTGGCGCTCTATTACACACAACTGCGGGCGTGCACACCGCGTACATGCATTCTTGGACATTTCTTTCTTTCTTCTTGTCGATTGCCTTTTCCGCCCCCCAAACCCCAAACCCCCAACCCCCCAAACCCCAACCTCCGCGGGCCCCGGGCCCCCCCGCCTAAGAGCGTCAGTCAGAGCACGCGCTCGACGAGGCCCATGCCCTGCGCCTCGAGCGCCTCCCGGAGCGGGTCGCAGATCTCCTTCGAGTACGGGGCGAGGACGCCGGGAGTGGAGAGCACGCCGTCGAGCACGAGCTGGACGGCGATCGCGCAGGGGACGCCGACGTAGCGGGCCATGGCGGAGTGGCCGTCGGGCGCGCCGTACGCCTCGAGCGTGGCGGTGAGCGTGTCCGCGCGGCCGTCCGCCCACTCGACGACGAACGTGTGCTGGAGCACGACGAGGTCGCGCTCGCCGGGCGCGTACGCCATCAGGCCCTCGAGCCGCGCGCAGAGCGTGTCGAGCAGCGTCCCGCCCCGGATCGTCGCGCGCGCCGTGGGCGAGAAGAGCCCGATCCACTTCAGGCCGGAGAGGATCCGGTGGCGCTCGGACGCGTTCGGGAACTGGCAGAGCGCGTCGACGCGCGCGATGAGCGTGCTGTGAGGGGGAAAAGGGGGCGGGGTTAGTGGGCAGGCGTCCTCACGACGACGACGCCGACAGAGCGTACGCACCTCTCCGTCGCGTCGGCCGCGCCGATCGCGTGCTGCATGACCTCCGCCCACGTCTGGCCCTCGCTCAGCCAGTCCTTCTTGTCGAGGCTGAGCCAGCCGAGGGCGACGAGGGCCTTGACGAACTCGGGGAAGCCCTGGTAGCGGAGCGTGCCGCGGACGACGGTGTCCGCCTCGGGGATGCGGTAGTGCTCGCGGAAGGGGAGCGAGTCGCGGTTCGGGTAGGCGACGAACGCGAACGCGGGCGTGATGAAGTACGGCCGCGCGGCGCCCATCAGGTCCGCGCCCGCGACGTCGACGCGCGCGCCCGCGGCGAGGTACGCCGCGTTGTTGAGCAGCGCGAGCAGCCCCCCGCGCGGCGACCACGAGAACTTGTACCCGAGCGGGTTGTCGGAGCACTCGGGCGCGGGCAGCCCCCCGCAGTAGGAGTGGAACTCCTTGATCTGGCACACATACGCACGCACGCACGCACGCACACTCTCTGTCAGCGAAACGCGCGCGCAGCGGAAGACGGGGAGCGACGGTCTCCTCACCTTGCCGCCCTTGGCGTGCACCTCGTCGATGGTCTTCACCGCGTAGAGGTGGTCGACGCCCGGGTCGAGGCCGATCTCGTTCATGACGACGATCCCGGCCTGCTTCACCTCCGCCTCGAGCGCGCGCATCGCGGGGCTGATGTAGCTCGTCGTCACGACGTGCGTCTTGCCCTTGATCGCCGCCCGGATCACGTTCGCGTGGTGGATGTACGGGACGAGCGAGATGACGAGGTCGTGCTCCGCGACCGCCTTCTCGAGCGCGGCCTGCTTCGCGGGGTCCTCCGAGCCCGCGTCGAGCGAGGCCGCGGTGGTGTTGCGGAGGGAGCCCGCGAGCGCCTCTGCGCTCTTCAGAGTGCGGCACGCTGGGCGCAGGTGAGCGGACGGCACAGCAACAAAAACGCCGCCGACGACGGCGACGGCGACAAAGTGTGTGGGACGTACCGATCGTGAGCGCGTTCGCGGGGTTGCGGACGACGTACTCGGCGCACGGCCGGGCGACGGCGCCGCTCCCGAGCAGGAGGATCTTCTTGGTGGGCGCCGCGTGGGCGGGCAGGGCGGCGGCGGGGCCGAACACGGGGCGGAGGTCGTTGCCGTCCTTGAGGAGCGCGCGGGCGAACTCGGGGAGGACGAAGGCGGCGCGGTGGACGTCGGCGTTGTAGTAGCGGGTGTTGGGCACGGTGCGGAGCGGGCGGGAGAGGTCGCGGGCGGCGTCCTTGGCGCAGACGATGAAGCCGATCTGGCCGGAGGGGTAGGTGGGGATGGTGGTGAACGCGTACTCGGCGACGGGGAAGAGGGCGCGGGTGGTGGTGAGGAGGTCCTGGATGAGGTCGAGGTGGATCCAGAGACACTCGCCCTGGGTGGAGATGTGCCCGCCCGGGGCGAGCGCGTCGCGGAGGAGCTCAAAGTAGGGCTTTTGGAAGAGGGAGGCGGCGGGGCCGACGGGGTCCGAGGAGTCCGTCACGATCACGTCGTACGTCGACGCGTTGTCCGCGAGGAACTTGAAGCCGTCGCCGACGTACACCGTCACGCGGGGGTCGTCGAGGAGCGAGGACATGTGGGGGAGGAACTGCTTGGAGACCCGGATGACGGCCTGGGACGCGACGCGGTGAGCGGGGGTGGCCGGCAGTCTGACCGTGCTCTGCCGCGGGACGGACTGACCTCATCGATGTCGCAGAGGACGACGTGCTGGACGGTGTCGTGCTTGAGCACCTCGCGGACGACGCCGCCGTCGCCGCCGCCGATGACGAGCACCTTCTTCGGGTTCGGGTGGCTGGCCAGGGGCAGGTGCGCGATCATCTCCTGGTACCTGCACGAGAAAAGGGCTGAGCACGATCGATGCGCATCGATCTGGGCGCACACGGGGGCTGCGGCACGCACGAGAACTCGTCGCGCTCGGTGCACTGGATGACGCCGTCGAGGACGAGCACGTTTCCGTACGTCTCCGACTCGAACACGAGCACGTCCTGGTACAGCGACTGCTCGACGTGGAGGATCCGGTTGACCTTGAGGGTCATCGCCTGCCCCGGCCATTGCGACGAGATCTCGCGGAACCAGCCATCTGCGGCGTTGTGTGCGTCAGACCCGACGCTCTCAGGAGACATGCGGCCGCGTACGCACCCTTGATCGAGCGGTGGGTGAGGGGGGCCATGGTGGATGCTGGTGGAGGAGGTGCAGAGATGGTCGATCGAAATTTTGACTCGACTCGGACTCGGGAAAAAGCAGGACGAGATGTCGAGGGAGAGATAAGATAATCGCAGATCTCCCAGATCGCAATCTCGTGTGGGGCGCTCGTTCCTCATACCGCTCGTTCGGACGCGCTCCCCGACTCCCCGACGCACACAACGTTGTACCAGTTGACCACCGTGCATCGATCGGGAGATGCCACTCTCACTGAGACAGCCTGTGCTTCTCGTCAAACAACGAGGTCAGCTTGGGCAGCAATGCCGAACCCCTCTTGGTTGTCGCCAGAGTGCTCGTATGAACCTGTGATCGCGGCAAACGCACTTGGATGTGTAACGGACCAGGGGGTGGAGGGGGAGGGGCTGGCAGATGGGGGTATGGGGTCGCGCGCCGAGTCCCCGCTTTCCTCCCATCTTCATGCATACCGAACGCGCGAGCCCCTCGCTGCGTCCAGAAGCGACCACGGACCCGCGGCCCGAAAGCCCCCATACTTGACGGGACGCACGTCGCCCGGGACGAGAGAGCACGCCTAAAAGAAGAAAAGAAAAGAAAAAAGTAAGAAGGAGAACGAGGAGAACGAGGAGAAAAAAAGCAGTGCCCTGTTGTGACCGCGCGCCAGTGCCGGGCCCGCGAGGTGCACCGCATGGTGCGTGCGGTGTGCGATATCGAACGCGTAGTCGGACGCTCGCCCATACCGTGATCGATCGTGAGGGTGATCATGGCGGACCTGCCTGCCTGGGCGCACACGCGAGTGTGTCATATACCTACACAACGCATATGTGGAGGAGGGGGCGCGTCGCGGCAGGCGGGGGTTCCTCCAGCCATCGGGCGACAACACATGCCGCACGGACGCAGCACCTCTCGAGCTCGCGCTCGCGCTCTCGTCCGGGGGTCCGCTGCCGAGACGCAAAGAGCATAATGATACAACATCCAAGCTAATGTACAGCCGTCGTGAGAAGCGTCACAAGAAAGTCGTGAAAAAAGCTCGCGGCGCAGCGGTGCCGCCGCCCCGCGGGACGGCGGAGACGCACACGCCGCGGCGGGGTATGGTAGCCGTAAAAAACAAAAAGAAAAGGGGGGAGGTGCAAGATCCAAGAACGCGGGGGGAGAGAGGCATGTACAACAAGCACGTCGGCGGCGGAGCGCATGTACAAACGAACGTCGCGCAAGGCGGGCGGCACGCATCACACCTTGTGCTCGATGGACTGCTCGGACCGCGTCTCGTTCGCTTCGTGCTCGAGGACTGCGCGGATGAGCATCGGCACAACGCCGGATGAAGGGAGGGGGGGAAGAACGACGCACCTCGTTCTTGCCGCGCGATGTCGGCGCGCCGCTGGTCCGCCGAGACGGAGCCGAAGATGACGTCCATCTCCTCCAGACTGCGGCCCTTGGTCTCCGGGATGAGTCTGCGTGCGTTGCGGTCAGCGATGTGCCCGGTGCGGGGACCGGCGGAAGGCGCGCGCCGCGTCTGCGGGGGGCGTGTTTACGTACAGCGAGAAGGTGGCCATGCCGGCGATGTTGATCGTCGCGAACATCAGGAAAATCTTGTAGCCCAGGTCGGTCACCATGTCGGGCGTGACCTTGGAGAGCACGAAGTCTGCGGGAGGGAAGCGTTCGAGGAGATGCGCGTCGACAAATGCACATGTACGTACTGAACAGCCACTGCGAGGCGCTGGCCGTGGCGAGACCGTAATGCCGTGTTCGGGTAGGGAAGATGTCGGAGACGTAAACCCAGCTTATCAAAGGGGCCATTCAGTCCGTGCTTCTAGGAAGAACATATGGACGGGATACTC